TAAGTGAAACACGTCTAGATTTGATAAGGATTCGGAATCTCCCATATCATTTCGGCTCCTTTTTCTATATAGAGGCATTGCTTGTTTCCCTATCAAAATTATATATATACACACACATACATATCATTTTGATAGAAACAAACAATGCTTTTATGCAAGTAAAAGGATATATATTTTTCTGAGACTAAGCGTTAGTAGTCAATACTATATTCCTCCAAATGCAATTCGCACGTAAAAACGATTTCTGCTAAGCAAAAGCTTACTCAGTGATTGTTGTTTTAAAACATTACGTCGTGAATAATAATAGACTATACCAAAATGTGTTGTATTCAGAGATACTCGTTGCTGTTTTGTTTCTTGTGTAAATTTAGATATTAAGGCAAGAGGTTTGCTTTTATTACATCATGACCCAAGGGAGAGACACATGGTCAAACATATAAAAACCGCCTGTTTTCTATTCTAGAAAACTGTTATGACGGAATTCACATCCAGCAAGGGATAACTTGTTATTCAGATGAGGAGAATATACCGTCATCAACACAACCGTCATGGAGTGTTGCAAAACCGTGAGACGATAACTATGTACAGACACATTGAACCCTGGCGAGGATATGTGATATTATGTAATCTACGTTCCCCGAGGGACAATTTATCTTTCACTAACCTCAACCTAATTATATTGATAAATCAAAAGGAGTCACAGTATTCCCAAAATGCAATATTGATGCCAATAAAATCAATCATAGCAACCATATAATTTCCAACGAATAGCATAAATGCTGCCTTCATGAAGTATAAATTGAAGGATATTTATAACACCAGTCTCGCTTAAAAACATGATGAACAGGATTCATCAAACATATCCAAATAAAAATGGAAGTCACATTTCATAATGTTTCCATTATATCATCTAATATAATCTCAATGTAAAAATGTGAATGTTTTAATCGTAGAAAAAGCACTGAAGTTCATGTATTCATTATTTTTATGTGCTGGCAACGGTAACTCTCACATATTGATGAATCGATAATCCACACTTCCAAACGTTCCTGATGGTTAGCGTTGTGACAAAACCATCTGTTCATCACACTGAAGACATCGATTAGATGGTGTATATTGCTGAATGTAATACGAAATGTCGAACATGTAATACATCGCTCGGATACAAGTTGTTACAAGCGAGCTGTTTCCAGATGCATGTTTCACTCACATGCTTACGGCATACCCGGAATCGTACCAGTGTGATCTTAGCAGAGATACTTTTTCAGTTCATTAAGTCCAGTTCAAGTTTAGACCATCTTACCCACAGTGCAGTTTGAAAGGTTCTATTTCTTTACAAAAAGCATGAAGTGAGCATAGGTTAAATCGTCAAATGTAACCGACGCAAGAGAAAAAGACACAACTGAGAAAAAGAGCCTTTATCATTCTGCAATACTTTCTCTCATTCTACTGAGAGAGAGTGAGTGAGTGTTCTTTCACGCCATTTTAGCAGCATTCCCACAGCATCTCGGTTACCAAACACAGGCTTCAAACATTGTCACCAAGCGGAGAATGGAACTTCAAGCTTTGGTATTTAGTGCAAATGGTTTAACCACTAGGCTATTCCACCGACCCTGTGGGATTTACTGAGATGTTTCATTGTGATCTGTGTTACGCAGTGTGTGATTGTATTCGTAAAGGAGGCAATGCAGAATATAACCTTTAAACACTTGACTTACTAGATTTTGGACATGTATATTCTAAGGAAGAAGAGTGTATTATAATGGCTGTGATTGAAACATTAGGTTTACCATCAACGTCCCTGCATACACTCGAGTGGGATATGTACCGTGCGTGTCAGACACAAGCACGCTTGGTTACATCACGCACCTGCTCTCTTCTCGGTTAGACGAGTGACAGTATTCACTTAGTCGTTATTTGCCGGGGCATGGAGCTAACTGTGATCAATATGTGACTAGGGAATGTACACACTTACAGTGAGCAAAAGTAAAAAGTTCTTCCTGTAATGCAACATCAAACGCGCGAAACATTTGGAAATCGTGAGAATATGATTAAATACGCATGAACATTACCCACACTTTTCTTCATGTGAGTACATATACGCACGCACCCATGCATATACCTTGTATCTGAGTACATATACGCACACGCGCATGCATATACCTTGTATCTGAGTACATATACGCACACGCGCATGCATATACCTTGTATCTGAGTACATATACGCACACGCGCATGCATATACCTTGTATCTGAATACATATACGCACACGCGTATGCATATACCTTGTATCTGAGTACATATACGCACACGCGCATGCATGTACCTTGTATCTGAGTACATATACGCACACGCGCATGCATGTACCTTGTATCTGAGTACATATACGCACACGCGCATGCATAAACCTTGTATCTGAGTACATATACGCACGCACGTGTATGTATGCATTATACATGCTTATGTCTACTTCAAATGTTGACAGTGGTAAATACATATCGCACATGTCTTTCTACTATCCTCCGAGATACACTACCGTAATGATATTATGTTTACATCTCGCTGATGCTGGGTGTTGTCACAGATGCAGGTGTCATGGACAAATGGTACATGCTTGAGTCAGTCGTCGCACGGGACGCGCCACACACCCGTTTCACACCCGTGTAACATGCATGTTACACGTGTTTTTAACGAGTGTAAGGGGAATGAACCTTTAGGCTGCATTGTACATCCATGCTGGATAAATACCAGTGACGAAGATGCATCTCTTGAACATTCACATGGCCACAGATACTCATGAAGATAAATGCTTACAACCTGCATACATATTTGCCAAAGACAATTGTATATCGGGACTCCAGATATATTAACCTCTTATCCGGATGCAATTGTACATGGAGACTCCATAAATATTAACCTGGCAGTCTGATACAGATGTGTTTCGAGTCTCCACATATATAACCGTTGCTATAGAAATTCCAGCCTGTAAATACACAACTATTTTCGCCCCTTTTTCAATGATTAACTTACCATTCGTTCGGCTATCATAAATCAGTTACCACCCCTTAAACAATTTTTAGAAGATATGTGAACCAACCTCCCCTTACTCTGATGTTTATAACACGCCGTTTTCTGTTATAATCCAATTACTAAATGAAATGGTATGCGTCTTGTTTCAAGCAAAAGATTCGTCGCTGTACGCTCTTGGTACAGTACGGAAGTCTCAGCTGTATATAAGTACCAAGAACTAGCTAGGAAGCCCATTAAATTCCTGTTTCAAATCGGATCAAATTATGCTTGTGGCTTCAACTGCTATTACAAGAGAGCGTGATTACCTGAGTCGCCCCCAGCAGTCGTACAAATATATCACGGCATTCAAGTTAGGCATTGTCACTGCAAACCTGACGACAGCGAGAACGCGCAATGGTGTTAGCCCTTTTTAAGCCGAGAATATTACATTTCCAAGCAGGGTAAAACGCGACCGACCGACGTAGTCTTACACATTTTTCTGATAATATTATTTTATTCCTTTTAGCTGAAGGCTTTTTGAAGATAAACTGTCATTTTTAACTGAATGTTGTTTCTACAAGAGGGATTACTAATGTGTTTTATGCGATTTATATATGATTTAGGGGCTTGGATTCCGGGGGCTAAATTTCTTTATTAAACACGTCTGGCGTAGCCATGCAATACTGGTTAAAAGATAGAAATAAGCCAACGCTCTCAAATGATCTGCGCCTTCATGTAGATACGATATAGTCGTCTATGTGTCTTGCTTATACCTGAGTTTCATCTGTTCAACCTGCCCCTCACCACTTCGTCCCTCAATCCCTTAGTTATAAAGAAACAGGTTCTCTATAAGTATCTGCTATCACATGTGTCTACATGTTTCGGCAACAAGAAACCATATGCATGGTTCAGCAAATAGAAATAAGTCGTACAAAATGCAGATTTAACTAAAGACACGTGATCCTCCATCAAGTCGATCAAGCTCAAAACAAAATATGATTAGAGAGAAATTAATTGCTTGCCAATTTCAATATTCAGCGTTCTTTACTCTTCACGTTTATATATGTATTTAATATCAATATAATTATATAATTCACTATTCCTCTGACAATATTTAACCAACAATACATTGTGCAGATTTCTCCGATAAAGTGGTGAAATAGGAATATTTGTAAAGTTAAATAACTCATTCACAAGTTAAGGAACATTGCGTTTTCATGAAAACACCAAGATTCCTGAATTTCGGTTCAGTGCTGTAAGCTCACACACAGACTTTCTTACATTTGACATAAACAGTGAATGCATAGAATGAGTGAAACAACTTGCTGTCGGCAGTCGTGTTATTTATGTACAAAACATAGTTACCAACAATTGATGAAATGATACATTACATATTTTTAACATTCGTGTTGTGTACGCCAAGTGTGACAGGATAGGATGGAGTTTGAGGCGGGAGAGTCACGTCTCTACACCACAATCACTAGACAAACAATATCACATGTCTTTGGGCTCTTATTTGTGTAAAATATCATTGGAGAAACAATCCTACATGTCTTTGAGCTCTTGTTCGTCTAAAATAACTTTGGAGAAATATTCCTATATACCATTTGGCTCTCGCTCATGTTAAATAACACTGGGCAAAACTCCTACAATCAATCCAGGAAGTGGAATAATTAGATAGTATAGAGGAACAATTAAACCATGAAGAGAAAAGAGACAAAAGATGGATGAGCCATTGGATACAGAACTAACTAGACAGAAATAATCAGACCAGGTTGAGGAACAAGTCGACTAGACAGAGGAATATTGAACACGAATTAAACCCGGCAGAGGGACGATCTCACCACAAAGAGGAACAATCGGACCAGGTAGATGATCTGTTGAGAGATCTACACCTGGTAGAGGAACAATCGGACCAGGTAGAGGATCTGGTAGAGAGATCTATACCTGGTAGAAGAACAATCGGACCAGGTAGAGGATCTGTAGAGAGATGTGTACACCTGGTAGAGGAACAATCGGACCAGGTAGAGGATCTGTAGAGACATCTACACCTGGTAGAGGAACAATGGGACAAGATAGAGGATCTGTAGAGAGATCTACACCTGGTAGAGGAACAATTGGACCAGGTAGAGGATCTGTAGAGAGATGTACACCTGGTAGAGGAACAATGGGACCAGGTAGAGGATCTGTAGAGAGATCTACACCTGGTAGGGAACAATGGGACCAGGTAGAGGATCTGGTAGAGAGATCTACACCTGGTAGAGGAACAATGGGACAAGATAGAGGATCTGTAGAGAGATCTACACCTGGTAGAGGAACAATGGGACCAGGTAGAGGATCTGTAGAGAGATGTACACCTGGTAGAGGAACAATGGGACCAGGTAGAGGATCTGTAGAGAGATCTACACCTGGTAGAGGAACAATCGGACCAGGTAGAGGATCTGGTAGAGAGATCTACACCTGGTAGAGGAACAATCGGACCAGCTAGAGGATCTGTAGAGAGATCTACACCTGGTAGAGGAACAGTCATGAGGCCACATTGAAGAACTGTCAACCAGATACAGGAATGATCATGCTACTTTAAAAAAGATTACCGAAACAAGATTCATTCAGGTAGAAATGACTACTGCCTCTGCGCTACGCCTTTGGCTACATAGATTCCGTTTATGTATACAGAAACATGCATATGCAATGGATATAAATATTGGCTTGCCTGTCTGTCTATGCGTCCCTCCGTCTGTCTGTCATATTTGTGACTTTTTTGTGAACAGTATCAACAGCCTTTTCTCAATATATCAATTGTTATTATGAAAGCAGATTGTCAGACTATCATGTCAGACTATGCAGAAGCAGCATAAAAGTCGATTGTAAGACTAAAGGCGGTGAGTACAGATCAGTACGAGCAAGATGTCCCGGGTCCTTCCCCTAGCTGTATCTGGAAGCGTTGTGGTCTGGACGACTAGTGGGGGTTCCACATAGCAGACTAGACAGAACGAATGTGTTAATACCGTGACTTTGTGGGAATGGAAACTTTCAGGTGAATGAAATCCGTGAAATAATTTATATTGATCGCGTTGGAGTGCGGTAATGTCCGCTTCATCGTGTCCGGATCACAGGGATTACACATATGTGTCTCGTTAATGATGTCGCGGTGGCACTGGTGTATATTTGGAAGAGAATGAATAGATCTAGTCTATCATACAGATCCTGAAAGTCCAAAATATTTGGCAAGGCTAGAAAAAAGTCTCGGGGTTCTTTTTTATTACATTAGATTTGTTATGAACTGTATTTTATGTAAAATATGTTCATTTCAGAGACTAGTTGTTAGTCTAGAATAGACCCTACTGAGGCCGTCGTAGTTACATTCTGGTGAAACACAACCGCAACTGTGCGTGTAAAATATAGCCTGTATATTTTCTGAAGATACTTCTCGCATCATACATTGGGATATGCACGATATACGTATCCTATATCGGGTTAGGCATGTCCTCCAGCGATACCATGTATGACGTGTAAAATTATGCCTCCCCTAACACGACATGAGAATTATGCCCCCACCCCCAATCGCTGACATGAATTTAATACCTACCAAAATGTCTGACGCCAGGATGATGTCTACCACAATGTATTACACGAAGACAATACTATGCTATTCATTACGCAAGTGTATGATGGAGACGTCTCCAGAAACAAAGGCCACAGCTGGCAGCAACAGAAGGTGTGCGTTCAAGAGAGAGGTGCCGGTCTGCTTCAGCACGATGAGTGTGTCATACCAGGAAAGGATAGCTTGTGGTTGTGCTGGAGACGCCTCCTCGACGTCGATATTGAACTGTGTGTCAGCTTTGAACTTCACCACTGTATACACTATTGCCTGGCTTGCCAGCGTGGTATGTTTATAGAGATATCAAGCTTGGCGGGCTAGGAATGTTTTATAAATCTTCCGTGAATTCCTGAATAAATATATCCTCAAGAAAAAAGCTGATGAATGTCAACACCCCACATGTTCACAGCTCAGTGTCACTGATCATTATTTCTGTCTTTCAGTATTTCACAGAGGCTATCGCAGACATGACAATCATTGATTTTGAGGATCGTAGACTGAGGGCTTTTGTCCACACATTTAACTACATTTAAAAGTACAGAGTACTGTTATTTTACATCGGGAATGCACATACGTATCATACCCTAAATATTCAGGATTTGTAAAATAGATAAAGATTTCATCTATCATCGCAACTAGATTTACAGTCATTTCAATATGAATATCATAATCGATGCTAATATAATCGTAATAGTCGCATTACGAAGATATATCTGTATTTACACGGTTATCCTATCCCAGTGAACAATGCATGTCCATCATTGGTTGTTGGTGCTGTTTGTGAAATGTATATATTTTGTGAAAAATATGCCACTTAATGCATCGACCTAAGTCAACTGGAGGTCCTTTAGTTACACACTTGTAATCGAATTTGCTGGACGTTGATCTTTCTGCATTGCCCTGTGGTAGAAACTGAGTATCTTGTCTGGAATATCCGTTTGTCTACGTAAAGAAAACATGTTCTCCCATCGGATGTCTATCATCATGTACATCATCAAATCCAATTAAAATAAACTATCTATCTAAAATGAGAAAAACTATCATGCATGATCAATATCGTAATACTAAAATATATCATTAATTTGCTGTTGCAATGCAATTAAACGAGATATGTGCTTTTGTATACTGGGCGAATGTCTCTTATACTGAATAAACACATCTCAATAATTCGATGGTGATTATTACGTCTACAGTGGTATTCCCATAATTCCATTGTGCCCAGTAACGTTTGGATAACCATTGTAAATGTTTGACCAAATCCAATTCCACGTGAATGCTTTCTTTTCCTTCGATGGGATCAGGCGCACTTGTCCAAAATGAAATGAAATGGCATTAGAAGTTTACTGAGAAAACAACATGTGACTTTGTTCATTGACAAAACATATTTGGAATTTGGAGGTAAGACGTCTAAGCATCTTTGTGTTTGTAAGAAGCATTAATATACTCACGAGAAACTGGACTGCGAGGAAGAACAAAACTCCAAAAGTTGAGTGTATGTCCAATTTCCTACTCCACGGATGGATTATCAATGCTTCCACTAGCTTCACATTGTCTTTCCTAAGACCCATATAATAATACTTTTTTAATCAAAAAGGAAAAAGTGCGTACTTTAATTCTGCAGAATATCCCAGCTCTTTCATGATCCCGTTCAAACATCAGGCGAAAGAGAACATCTAGGAAGCGATTTCATCACTGCTCGTTTACAACGCAAGAACCTGATAAATTGACTAAACATGGCAGAGAACGCATTTGAAGTGTCTTTTCTGCACACCTTATTCAGGTGTTTATGCAAATAAGTTGATAGACAAACAGACAGTAGAGCGATGCGGATCTTTGTCCTGTGAGGTGTAGATATGTATGTAAGCTGCGCATAGGATGGAGGAATTGCTGTTGTCCTTGGGACAAAGCGATGCTGTTATTATTTCACAGCTGGATGAGATGTTTATTTGCTTTACAACTGGGCCACTCTCGTTGCTGAAATGAAGATGACGTTACTTTGGCTTCATGGCAGTTGGGGAAATATTGGATAATGGTGTTTGTGTGATGACTACTGCTGTTTGGTTGTTGAATATTTTACGAAGGTTATTACATCGAGATATAAGGTTACTAAATTGATAGAGCTAAAACAACACCTACATGTGATACTCCGTTAATCAGCAACACGTGTGTTTACGCGCTACAGTAAAGATAGTGTCATGCTTAACACAGAATATGTTTACATGGGTAAATGTGTGTAGTGTACACCAATAGTGTTTTGGTGAACGCAGTACTTCAGTCCTGTGTAACTGAAACTGTATTCTTGCATAGGTGACCCAAATGATCATACCGTCTTGCTATGTCTTTGCATGTCCTCTTACTGTCCGGGGCGGTGGAGTAGCCTAATGTTTAAAGCGTTGGCTCGTCACGCCCAAGACCCGGGTTCGAATCCCCACATGGGTACACTGTGTGAAGCCCATTTCTGGTGTCCCCAGCCGTGATGTTGCTGGAATATTGCTAAAAGCGGCGTAAAACCAAACTCAGTCAGTCAGTCAGTCTTACTGTCCAAAGTTTTCGTCTCATTATCTGATTTTTTAAACCTTTTTCAGTTATCGTGCTAGACCATAGACCTAGACGACAATGAGTTGGACTCACTGCATAATCTGAAAGAAAACATGAGCTGTTTGTTGAAAATGCTGATTCACCTTTATTGATATTTGGCGCAAGTTTAAAACAATGCAGTCTTTCTTTTAGGGCTTCGTCCGTGCATGTACGTGGTTTTGCAGTAATTCAACTTTATCTAGTTTTTAACAGATTTAAAGGCTTCCAGCAAAACCGATTTGGGCTGAAACGTTTCTGTCGGAGATTCTTTTGCACTGATCTGGAAAGCATTAATTTCACAGAGGTAGTGTTGAGAAAGTTCAATTTTGATTAAACTAATAAGATACGCCGCATGCATTGCCGCCCAAAACATTTGATTTTTGTGAGCCCACTGCTGCTCAACTTATTATCCAGTCAAAACAATAATAGTTCTGTGCGTGATACGTTTTGTAATCACCTTATTTCCCGTCTTTTTATTAGTGCTGAGTTGGTCGAATTGGGCATGCAGGAATGATTGGACTCTACATAAAACAATACAATGAAAATGACTCTGTTAGTCTTCATTGTCGTGTCGTACTGAGGCAAAGGGAAAAGAGCACATACATCAGACACCAAAGGAAGAGAACTGTTTACACAAGTTCTTAATGAAAACATTAGAGTGAATATTGACGTGTAAGCCAACAGGGCGATGTGGGCGAAACAGGGAAATCCTCTAACACCTTAAACCTGTATGCAGGGTTCGACATCCAAATTCCCTGGATCCGTTCGAAATACTTTAGAAACCAAATACCACACTCAATGATCATAAAAGATGTCACAATTAACGGTGGAAATACGGTCGGTAAGCAACAGAAACCTATCGAGATGTTAATAGTTATATGCTTATGGGAATGAAGTCAATAACTTCGTCGAATAGTGTAGTTCACATTTTCTATTTTTTAATGTGAACAAAACAAAACAAATGGCCATCGATTTCAGAAGAGATAAGCCATCTAACTCACTAGTAAGATATGTGGCGAGGATATTGAAGTAGTTGAGGAATATAAATATCTCGGTACTATTTCAGACTCTAAGTTATCATGGAACTCTAACACTAGTATTATATACAAAAAGTGCAAGCAGCGATTACATTTCTTATGGAAATTAAAACATTTCAAGTTAGATCAAACCATTATGATGCTCCTTTATAGAAGTTTTATTCAAATTGTTCTGACTTTCAACTTTCTCTGCTGGTATGGGAACCTGTCTATTCAAAACAAAAACAAAATTTTCAAAATTCGCAATACTTCCTCAAAAATAATTATCTTATCTTATCTGAAAACAAAGTTATGTAAATATTACATACATTTGGAGATCTCCAATAGTTCAAAACTCCCTCCAATAAAACAATAATTTATTGTATTCCTCCAATAGTTGAGACTCCAAAGATATAATAATTTACTATCCATTATTATCGCGCGATGTCATGACCCTTACATAACTTATGTAAGCAGATTCAAGGTCAGTTGATGGTTAAGGTTACACAAATTTATGCAAGAACAACTTTATGTCTAAATGTTAAATTTTGTGTTTGAAAAGGAACGTTGTGAAATGTTGCTTCATATTCAGCAAAATTAATTATCAAAAGTTTTATCGATAAAATTGCCCCTCTAAGTTTGTGTAACCTTAACGTAATTATCCTCATTTCGCAGAAAAGAAAACAGACAAAGAAGCAAAGTCACAGATCTTTAACGAAAATTCAAAATTTTAGGGAAAAGGTCGTTCCGTCGCGTGTTTGCGTTATTGGCTTGGTCTCTGCATCCGATTTTCTGGTCACATCGTGGGTGCAGGCGGTACTGGGATTGGCGGTAGTGGCAATGGCAGTGGCACTTGACTTGGTGGCAATAGTGTTGCCTCGTTTCCGCTGAACAATAGAACAATAGAATCCACTGCAGCGGCCAATTCTGTCGCGCGATGTCCTCTAGTAAAGAAAATGAATGAAAACATGTATGTCAAAGTGACAATGATATTAAATTTTTTGTCATTAGGAAAAGGGTAGGGCAAAGAGAAAAATTGTCTTAAACTCAAGAATTTTTAGTTACAAATTTGTTGAGGTTAAGAATGATAAATCAAAATAAGGCACTATTGTACGACTATTGATAGCATTTTTAGTACGTACACACATGCATATTTAAGCTTTCCTTTAATGAAAATATTGGAGTTTTTTATTATTCGTTAGAAATTTCCTGTGATACAGAGAGTATACACGTAGGATTCGCTAATCGTAATATAATGTATTGTTCCTTGTGTCATATTTATTACTGTAATTGAATTTGTAGATGTATTGATGTACCAATAATTACCTTGTAACTTCTGATTGCAACCGATTTGTGGCCGGTCTTTTCCGCAATTAGTTGCTCGTCAATCCCCCTGTCATATAGCCGGGTTTCTGTGGTGGCTCTGAGTGAGTGGTGAGTGGTTTGGGAACCCCGCTGTTTTACAGACACACAGACAGACAGATATTTTATTTCAGTCTCACCTCACATAAAATACATATATAAATATATTTATAAAATATAGCATATAAGTGAGCCACCCTTTAAGGGTTATGAGAGACTAATGTATTAAAACATTATAAATACTAAATAATAAATAATTATATAGGTACATACAGTGTAAAATCTATCCGTATAAAATATGTTTTCTTCTTTGCAAGATATAAAAGCAGGTTTTGGCACTGAAATATACATGGTGTTTAAAAAGTAAAACTAACTTATCATCATCACAAAGATCTAAGAAGTTGGGATAGCTTAGTGTTGTGTTCTTAGCCTTGGCAGAACCACAAACCACAAACCACAAGACAAGATGTCGTCTGGTGAACATGTGCTCGAAGGGAGTCTTTTTATTGACTTACTTGTAAGAGTCATACAAGGGGCGTAACTCCTGTGCCTGTCTAACATAGCGGTAGAGCACCTAACCCCTACGTATCATCAATACACTACATCTCCTCTCTTGTTAATTTAAGAGTCAACTTTTAAATGCTATTATCTGATAATCAAGATCTTACCTCCTTGTGCTCTACATAATAAAACACCACTATGCACCGTGGACAATATCAGTCTGTTTTCCTTCATGAACAATTAAAAGTCTCAACTTAAAATAATTACTGGAAACTTCCCTGAAAATTAAGTGAACATTGTCCAACTTTTGGTCTCAATTGAAAACTTGTTTAACAGTAACCTTGAAAATGAAAACACTACTAGACTCAAGATCTAGAGATTTCAGTCACAAATCCAGTCTGTTCGGTGGTCGTCTTTCACGAACTGGATAACGTCGCTCCTGTGCTGGAATCTGTTTGTCACTGTCTGTGTCTGTTTCAGAAGTTATAACAGGATTTGCACACTCTGGTAACTCTGCTGTCTGTTCAAGGTTGATAGAACTAGCACTTACATCACCAGCCATCACAGGATTTGAACATGGCAGTAGTTGATCGGTATGACGCCTCCAAACCGATCCTGGATTAACTTGTACTTTGTATGACACTGGCCCTGACTTGTCAACTACTGTCCCTGGTACCCACTTAGCACCTTCCCTGTAGTTCCTAGCAAGGACAGGTTGATTTGGCTCAAATGTGTCTGTTCGTACTTTCCCTGCACCTCGTTCCTGTATCTGTTTCTCTTGAGCCTCCGCCACTGTCATGGCAATGTTTGGTTTCAGTAAATCAAGGCGTGATCTCAGTCTTCTCCCTATGAGCAAGACTGCAGGAGCCTCTTTAGTTGTCGAGTGTGGTGTGTTTCTATATCTCATTAGAAACACTGATAACTGCTGCTGCAAAGGTGCGTTCGAATTGCTCACACTTTCTCGTAGACTCTGTTTTAGAGTTTGCACAAACCTCTCTGCCAAACCGTTAGTTTCTGGGTGGTAAGGTGAGGATGTTATGTGTTGAACACCATTCCTGGCCATAAATTGCTGAAATTCTGATGACACAAACTGTGGGCCATTATCACTCACTAGTTGCTGTGGTAGACCATGTCTACTAAACACACTGCGAAGCACATCAATGGTTTTCTCAGATGTCGTTGAATTCATCACAACCACTTCCGGCCACTTGCTATAAGCATCAACCACTACAAAGAACATCTTTCCCATGAATGGTCCCGCAAAGTCTACATGGATCCTATGCCATGGCCCATCCGGATAACGCCAAGGGTGTAGGGGTGCAGGTGAGGGCTGGTTCTGACACTTCATGCACTCTGCACACGACTTCACTGTTTGTTCAATTTGTTCATTCAAATTTGGCCACCACACATAACTGCGTGCCAACGCCTTCATCTTCACAATTCCTGGGTGCCCTATGTGCAGTTCATTGAGAACTACAGGTCTGAGGTTTGCAGGTATGATTACTCTCATACCCCACATGAGGCATCCTCCTTGTACTGTCAGCTCATTACGTCTAATGTAGAAAGGTTGCAGAGACTGCACTTCAGGCTTCGTCCATCCAGTCAGCGTGTAATCCATGGCCAAGGATAAGTCGTTATCCTTCTTGGTTTCGCTTGCAACCTGCGCTGATTTCACTGGTAAACTTTCCAACTGTGACATGTTGAATACTGCAGCAGCATCCATGACATTGCGAGGTACTTGCTCTGGTATCGGCAATCGAGAAAGTCCATCTGCATTCGCATTGTTCTTGGAGTTTCTGTATACGATGTTGTAGTCGTAAGCTGACAACATCATTGCCCACCGCTGGAATCTTGCTGCCGCCAGTGGAGGAATCGCTGTCTTTGGTCCCAAGATTTTCACCAATGGCTGATGGTCAGTAATCAATGTGAACTTCTTGCCGATCAAGTACTGAGAGAACTTCCGCACACCAAACACTATTGCCAGTGATTCCTTGTCAATTTGTGCATAGTTTTGTTCAGTTTTAGTCAATGTTCTAGAGATGAAGGCAATGGGCTTCTCTCCATGGTTTGTGATGTGAGACAACACAGCACCAACTCCGTAAGGTGAGGCATCACAAGCCAATGTGACAGGTAGATCTGGGTTGTAATGTACCAGTACATCCGCAGATAATAACAAGGTCTTCGCCTTCTTGAAAGCTGTGTCTGCGCTCTCCGACCACTCCCATTCTGTTCCTTTCTCTAGAAGCCTGTTCAATGGTCTAATGACCATAGACAGATTTGGTAGAAATCTGTTATAATAGTTCAACAGTCCTAGAAAACTGCGCAACTGTGAGACATTTTCTGGTGCTGGTGCATTCAATACAGCATTCACCTTATCATCTGTTGTGTGAAGACCATCCTTATCAATCTTATGTCCTAGGTAGACGATGGATTCTTGGAAAAAAGAAACATTTCTCTCTCGACACACGAATTCCCCATTCCTGTAGCCTTCTCAAAACGTTTTTGAGATTCCTCAGGTGTTCTTCTGCTGTTTTCCCAGTCACAAGCAGGTCATCCATGTAACACAAAACACCTGGTATTCCCTGAAGCACTTGTTCCATGGTTCTCTGGAATATAGCGGGTGCTGAGGCTACACCAAATGGTAATCTGTTGAAGCGAAAAAGTCCTTTCTGAGTGTTCAGTACGAGTAACCTTCTTGATTCGTCGTCTACCAACATTTGTTGATATGCATTGGAGAGATCCCAACTTTGTGAACTCCTGGCCCCCTGACAGATTTGCTAATAAATCTTCTATTCGAGGTAGCGGGTATTCTACTCGCTTTAACACTGGATTGAGAGTCACTTTGAAATCTCCACAAAGACGAACTGATCCGTTTTTCTTCACCACAGGTACTATTGGCGTTGCCCACTCGCTGCAGTCTATCGGTTCTAAGATGTTCTCTTTCACCAGTCTGTCAATCTCATCATCAACCTTTTGGCGCAAAGAGTATGGCACTGGTCGTGCCTTCACATACTTTGGAGTGGTATCTTCTTCTACCTCAATCCTCGCTTTTACATTCTTTAATGTACCTAGTTCATTCTTGAAAACCTCTGCATGATCCTGCAAAATGTCTTGTAACTTCTCCTTAGCTTCTTTAGGAACTTTCCTAATTTGACGTATAGCTGGCCAGTCAATTGTATCTTGTGTAACCATGACCGTCCGAACAGAGCTGGCCCTGATCCTTTGAGGGACGAACAACTTTAGGTTATAGTGGACTCCATTGTACTGTACTGCTACATTTAGTGTCCCTTCGGGTCTCACCGGTTCCTGAGTGTAGGTCTTCAAAATCACCTCCGTTGTGTTCATTGGTATCTTGGCAAATCTCTTCTTGTATTCTTCGAGAGAGATTATTGAGTAAGCTGAGCCTGTGTCAAGTTCCATTTTCAGTTCAGCCCTTCCACTACTGGGTAAACCCAAATACTGTCAATGACCTCTGATTCATCTTTAATGAAAACAGTGGTAACTCACATTCATCCTCCACAGTCTCTTCCGACTGTCTCTTAGCTTCATCCATGTGATGAACTTGGCCCTTCTTTTGTTTCCAAGGTAACCCTCTCTGGGTGGTTTCTGTTTACTCTTGCAAATATACTGGGTATGGCCTACTTTCCCACATTTGTAGCACTCCACACTTTTCATCCAACAATCTCTGGAATCATGGTTAGTCTTTCCACACGACTTGCATTTAGGAAATTGTTTCCTTTTGTCTTCCTTTCCACGAGTTCCACCTTTACGAGACATCCTGTGTACCTGAGCTGTAGTTTTCACATTCAACTCCTGCATGTCTCTGGCAGCAGTTTCCATAGAAACAGCAATTTTAACCGCTTTGTCAAGTCGAGACCTTCCTCAGATAATAAACGCTTTTGAATAGAGTTTGATGCTAACCCACACACAAACTGATCTCTAAGCTGATCATTGAGTCCCTGTTTGAAATCACAATGCTCTGTGAGTTCCCTCAGTGTAGCTAGATAGTCCGAAATAGTTTCGTGTGGTCCTTGAATTCTGTTACGAAATCTGTGTCGTTGTGAAATTACAACCGGTTTCGGTGAGAAATGCGCTGTCAAAACATCCACTAATTCAGGCAAAGTTTTAGTAGAGGGTTTCACCGGAGACAATAAACTCCTAAGCAATCCATATGTTTTCCCCCCAACAATCGCTAGGAAAGCGTTTACTTGCTTGTCTTCATCAATGGAGTTTGCGCTCAGGTACGCTGTCAGGCGCTCTGAGTAGACGTCCCACGAACCGTTTGCTTCGTCGAATGGCTCTATATTGCCGATGGCAGCCATCGTTGGATTCTTGGATGCACGTAGTAGTTCAAAACAATCCTCGTCGCCAATTATGTTGTGTTCTTAGCCTTGGCAGAACCACAAACCACAAACCACAAGACAAGATGTCGTCTGGTGAACATGTGCTCGAAGGAGTCTTTTATTGACTTACTTGTAAGAGTCATACAAGGGGCGTAACTCCTGTGCCTGTCTAACATAGCGGTAGAGCACCTAACCCCTACGTATCATCAATACACTACACCACCGTTGGTGGAAGTTGAGAAAATAAAACCCTTCGAAACCTTCGACAAAATATACATGAATATACTGTTCCAATTGACGGTAAAACCCTATTTGTTTTGAAATAAACGAGAAGTTTTGAAGCAAAGATGTAGTTTCATCTTTAAAACATGAAATTATGTGTTACTCAAATAAGACATTATATATATTGATTAACATTATAATGTTTTGATATATGTATGAAACGGTGCATGTACTGTATCCTTCAATTCACAAAACTAGTGCGTATGTAGGCCGGTAGGTAAACAATGCATATTTCACATAGCTTTAACGCTGCAGAAAGGTTTAATGTTGTCTTAAATTTGATCAACTATCATTGTGCATTTGTACACAGTCTAAGTCTGATTTGGACTTTGTTATAAGAGGTGTCTTAAAAGTATGTATCATGCCACAGTTAATGTTTAAAATGGCTTGTGAGCTTTAACATCCAGTGGCATGAAAGGCTTTGACATACTGAAATACAGAATCCAAAGTCACGTGTGTCTGTACCATTACTCACCATATACAGCCAAGAAGAAATGTAGACAGATCACAAACGCCCTTTCAACATGCATGGCTGTTAGATCGCAGTCATCAGAAGTTCAATGCGTGCTTTCTGTACGTCCATGGATACAGAATATGTCGTCTCTATTCAGGCATGCCGTTAAACTGTTGGATTCCTATACAATATGTAGCAGTTTGCTTCGTTGAAATTCACACACATCCACCATCGAATGCACAGGAAATGTAAACAACATTCGTCAATTCATGACTAGACTACTTGTATATAATCACGCTGTCAGGTCGTCTTCGTCAATGTTCGTACCTGTGAATCCATTAGGTACTCAAAAATAAACTTACTGTCGTATCTACATCACATAGGCAAACAGTAGACTCTATGTAAGTGAATATATGTGTTAAATAGTCTGAACAAACCCAAAGACGTTACTGTTATAACCAGCACGATGAAATGACGAACAGACTAACGTCAACAGGTCGCTATGTGTTATTGATAGTTAAATGTACGAGTAAACGTCCCTCGAGGACGACCAGGTCTCAGGTATGAACAGGGAAGTGAAATGAGTGTGTTGTGACTATACATATAGAGCAGGCTGTGAGTTGCGCGGGTCTATCTTGCCCCAACACACAACGTCACAATCGATTATGTTTGTTTTGCTTCGTGATTCAACGAGTTTTTCGTTTTGATTTTGGACAGTAGTGGGGTGGCTGGTGGTGATGGGGCGTGATCTGCTTACGACAGTGAAGTGGGTTTTCTCTAATCATAAGTGTATTTCTATTTTCAAGTGATGCAGACAATCTTCCAACTGCAATTGAAGCTTTGTTAAAAGAGAGAGTTATCTTCCTTCAAGTGTATCATAAATACCACTCGATCATATGCACATTGCAATTGAATTATGCGGACATTGGCCAAAGGGAAAGCTGGCAGTCTATTTAAGAAGGGATATAGAGAAACAATAGTAGTGTTGCATCAAACACCCGTAACTTTGTTAGCTTATGAAATAAAAATAGTAAGAAACAAAAGAAGTAAGGTTTCTAAGATAAACCGCCATGGTTAGAATGAGAGATATGGTTTCGAGAACAGACAAGCGGTGTGTCTACTTCTACTTTAGTGTTCAGAAATTGCAGATTTGCCGTTGTCAGTCTATATTAAAGACTCAGCCACTTGTTTTGTGTTATGTTATTTTGTCTGTACCGATCACACGCATCAAGAGCTGTATTTACACTGTTTTATCATCCGTTTTTATATAAAGGCAGTAATGCATGAGCTGCATGTCAGTAAAGTAATCGATTAGGTTTCTCTTCGCACTTGGACTATATATAAATATAGACATGAGCTATACAGAACATCAACGTTTTCAGGTGAAATATGCTCGATCGAAGACGTTTACACTTGAAATACTGTTTAAGATTATAATTCGTAGAGCTTAGAAGAGCATCTTCACTAAAATCTTCCACTTTCAATGCAATATTTGCACAGTCGTTCAGTGTATGGGATCGTCAGCTTTTGGGGGTTTCGCAGTCGTAAAATGCGAATGTGAACGTACTGGCCACTGCATGCTTACCACTGCCAGCACTGTAAACAGTATGTACAGTAGATACTACGCGCATTGCTGACGCCGCATTACCAGCTCATACATAAATGCAAAGTTAACTGTGAATGAAAGTAAGAACATCACAAGTGTGTGATAAGCAGAATCAATAAGCCTGGCAATTGAATATCCTTGGAGGTTAATCTACGTTCCTTGTATATGCCAAAGTCAGGATTGACACCTACACATGTGTGTTGCGCTACCTGACACATGTATAAACCATAAGATGTGTTTTGGTGTTATGTTTTAAAACCAAAACAATCTTGCATGAGATGACTGTCGTCAACACTTATCTCAGTTGTAATACTTGGTATTTACAGCTTAAGACCACAATCATTTCACACATACATACTGATATGTTCTCTCAACCTAGGATTGATTCTCCTTACCAAGAAATTTATCAGCTCCTTGTCACCAAGCCCAAACCTCATTGAATATAATACATGGCGGCTCGCTCATTTTCTTACAAACATGATGGCATCATATTTTTAAAGTATCTCCTTCACATCCTCGGAACACCAGAATCTAATATGCCTTTCGGAAGCATTTGTTAGGAGCATTGAAACGGTTCTGTTGAGTTTAAGTAAGTCTAACTGAGTTTAATATTTTGATGAAGCAGCAAGAGGTTGCCTTGAAATAGTAATCAAAGTGAGCGAGTTTAAATTTTGAGTTTTCGAAACAAAATATTCATTTTTCATCCATGGCCTATATTCATGACAACCGCATGTTTAATTTTTCAAGTCCCTTGTCAGAAAGTGGCCACTGTGCGGAGAGTTTCTGAACTTATGTGAGTCGGAATTAAATTGTGACGTGTTGCATTTATTTCATGATGGCATCGTATTGCAACTTCTAAATACTTACCAAAGACTTGCCTAACATGGTGTCTTTCAATAACTACCGCCATTGTGTATAGAAGGCGCCTCGTGATATAAATTTGAACGGTCTTCATTTCGATATTAAATAACTAAAATGGACGGCATACTTTTCTTCTCATGTCATCCTTATATCTATCCTTAAAAGACATTTAACATCGTCATTGTCTTATACAAAAGGAACTAGCAACTATCAACTTCAATATATTATAGGTCTTCAGGGCAAAACAGTGGGGCATGCATGACCCAGTCGTCTGTGCGAAGTTGCGTCCCCCGAGAGCGCACCAGAAACCAAGGATCATTGATTGAATTCCGGTTTGTCACGATTAGGTTGGTTCAAAACCGCCCAAATGGTAAACACCTTAGACCTGCTTCACTTCAAAGGGCGTTAAACCAGACCAACCGACTCGAGCTCTGTCACAAGTAAATAATTAATGAATCTGCGGTAATATCAACGCGTTTCATTTGATACATATTATATCTGATATGGGTTGATCAAGGAAAACGGAAATCGGAATCAATAATTAATATATATGATAAAACAATGTTCTCATAAATCAGTTACAGTTTACGGGATAGTTAGACTGTGGTTATGCGAGATAATGCTTCACTTTTGAGCGAAGAAAGACATGCCAGTGTAAATATGAACAGTGTTTAGTTCTCCACGTTCCTGTAAGAAATGGGTACTTACAGTTTTACATTTTGGGCTTGTGTGCTGCTTTACATGCGATGTTTACACATTTCTTCAGGTAAGCCGATCTATATTGCTCTAAGTATCCCCAACAATGACGGCTTTCGAATCTGTTATATAATATTTAATTCACATTCTTTTTAATCAAACGCTGAACGTGTAAAACATTCCAGAACAAGAGCCAGGGGAGATCAAAGTTTGTCTCGTAGCTATTTCCAGTGTTCCTGTTACGCTTGCTTCGTTATTTGTTACATGTTATATTTGGAATTACACTTTCTTACTAAAGTACAAATTCTAGTACTTTTGGGGGTTGAGTCACATCCGGGATTCAGACCCACATCCTCAGAGTCAGGCACCTAATCGCCAGCACACAAAGTCAGCCGCCTAACCCGCTCAGCTCAGTGTAAATCTAACATGTTACATTTAACCACTTTCTAAATAGTATTGTGTACATGTAATCATAGCTTTCGGTCGTGGGAGCCGTGCCAACTTGCACTTATCAGAGGGGTACGTGGTCCGCAGTCTAGACTACCAGTTGTCAGACATCCATTTTGGGGAAGGTCGCGGTAGCTGAGCGGGTTAGGCGGCTGACTTTGTGTGCTGACTGACTGACTGACTGAGTTTGGTTTTACGCCGCTTTTAGCAATATTCCAGCAACATCACGGCGGGGACCCCAGAAATGGGCTTCACACTTTGTGCCCATGTGGGGATTCGAACCCGGGTCTTCGGCGTGACGAGCCAACGCTTTAACCATTAGGCTACCCCACCGCCCCTTGTGTGCTGACGATTTGGTGCCTGACTCTGAGGGTATGGGTTCGAATCCCGGATGTCACTTCAAGCACGCCAACTTAGTGACTGATATTATGAAAACAGCATGAGCATCGATCTACACAACTGGGATTCGATGACGTGTCAACCAAGACACGCAATCAACTAAGTTTCACCAAACCTGCCCGATTCATATTTTGCCTCTTAAGAGGCACAGGGTTGCTAAAAAACTGTTATAATAATCCCCTAAGGACCCATCTACACGTAGATATCAACGTGGTACGATCTAAGTACACTGTG